AAGCCTTTGGGATAGGATGTTCCAGTGACGCAAACGCAATTGCTGCTGAACGACTTATTTTTAACTTTGTTTTTCCACTTCTCTCTAGAAGCTTAATTCAAGGGACCTGGTTGGCAATTATCGTTCGGATTTTAGGTGCTTCGCTCACTGAAACTGTCAGAAGATGCAAGTCTTTTTGCTGTAAAACTCGGTATGCACGACTACGCCTTGTCAATGATGGTGGAAGACCTTGGCCGACACGCAACTGCCATCAAATACATCTCGAAGCGATCTCCGGCTGAGGTAAGCTTCCTATGCTAAATAGCACTCACGGCGGTTGTGTTGCACCTCTTCCTAGCTAAAAAATTGAGCGAAAATCAGTCTACACTTTTCAGGCATGCACGTTCATAGAGAAGTATGGACATTTGCTGTTTGAAGCATGCCCGAACGAAACTGTGGAGCTACTGCAGACTGTTATTGAAAATTCGTCCGGAGGTGGGCTTCAGGTGATCTTTGTGTTATAGTTAGAATATATCACAATTTTAGATAATGTCGATCCAACTCAGCTTCTCAAGGTATTTGTCGGTGATTTTACGAAGGCAGCCAATTTCATCGAATTCGCCCTCAAAAAGGTAAGGAAAACGATTGAGTGGAAGAGATTCTTTTATACGTTACCACATTCCTCCAAAGATGGAGCTCCTGGTCACCCAGCTCAATTTTTTTCCTGATATACAAGTGTGTTGACGTTCTCATAACTGCTCTGTTTTTAGGTATCGGGACCTTCTCGTAGTGTTTTGCTTGACGCGATACTCGAATTGCGACTGAGAGATTACTCCCAAGGGAAAATTGTGAGTTCATCTTTAGTTATTATATTTTATGCGTTATTTGGCTTCCTCAAAGTCCATACGGACCAAAAGTTACTTGGTTCTTCATACCAGTATGACTAACGCACTACAGCGCAAAGGACAGTCAATCTTCGCCGTTATTCAGGGCACATCATTGGTTCGGGATTTTAGTCAAGTCTGTGTGACCACCCCCCCCCCTTTTTTTTCGGGGAGTACGACCCCCTCCGGCCCTCTGTCCCTCCTCATCGAATCGAGCCGTCGATTGGGGGGAGGGGGGGGGAGGTATATAGTACGCATGAAACAGGAAAATCACAAAAAGTCAACTCAACCACCGCTCCTACAACGCCAAAACGTAAATACGACCCCCCCTCCCAACAATGACCAAGTACGACCCCTCCCCCTTTACAACGTCCGTGAAGCGAGAAAAATCGACTATCGAAATAAATTATTGTTCAGTGTGTTCCGATGTTCAAATCAGTTTTCTTATCGCTCCAGACGAATCTGGTTCCAATTTACATATAGAAGGGGTTATTGGCCTGGACGGGAACCGATCCCTAATGTTTGACCCCAGGCGCGTAGTAAGCGGGCCACTTACCGCTACGCCACCTCCCTTCTCAACACATCACATCACCTTCACGTTCCCTGTAATTAAGAATAACTCAGATACCTGGGAGTTATTTTTTATAGACGGATGCTGACTGCTTCAAGCAGTTGATCCCATTCATTGAAGATGGCACTATTTCTCGTGCCCTCCATATGGCACGTCTCTTTCACTGCACTCCTGTCATGCAGCATATTTTGCAGAAGTTAGGACGGTGAGAGTTCTACATTGCTTGCGATTTATTCTTTTTACCAACATTTTTATTTACAGGAAAAAGGAACTGCTCCAGTATTACCTCGAAGGCAACAAACTTAGTGAAGCGATTGAATTGTGTAACACTGAAAAGTATGTTTCTTACAGTTATTATTGCTAATGCCTGACCTTTTTTACAACTTAAAAATGAAGTCATGGAAGTACTTGGCGGTGATCAGTCTCTTTGGCGCAGGCTCGATTTTGAGTTTAACCAAAAATCGTAGGGCACGTTAATACACATTTGGGCGCAGTTCGACGACGGGAGGGGAGGGGGAGGGTATTTTGCACTTCACCTGCTTCACTTACTGTATACAAGTCTCACTCGGTCACTCTAGTGAAACTTGTGAACTCTTGTGAAGCTGGAGCAAGCTCGTCTAGCCACCATGGTGAAATGTCAACTCAAGAAAAAGCTATCTAGATGGGTCGACACATCGATGGGAAACGAAATGCCCCTCTCCTCCCCTCCCCCTTCGCCAAACTGCGCCCATATTTGCCTTCGACAAAGGCTTGAGGCGCTTGCCATGATGCTTTAGAGCTTTTGTGCTAGGTAATAATTGAAAATGTATTACAGAGCAAAACTGTCCCAGTATGTTCACCTTGCTTGACGCTGACCATTTTAGGAGTAAAGAAATGTGGCTCGATACGCTGGTGCATGTCTCAAAGGTTGAAGGTGCGGTAGATGAGAAGTTGATCGTGAAGATGCTCGAGGGGTAAGCTGTACATTTTTTTGATCATTAAGTTGTGATTTACTTGACCACCATGAGAAGTGCGCTGAAGTGCAAACTGTACACTCACCTTCACCTCCGAGGACGATCCTTGTCATGTGCGAGGCAAATGGATCCGCAGCTGCAATACCATGCCACTTTCTCCGTTCAAAAGTATACGGAAACGGGTTTGAAGGGTAGTGGTACCTGGCGCCGTTCAGGACTCCGCCCGCGCTATCCTTAAAGGTACAGCACCTACGTCGATACATTGGTCCCGCAGCGAACACGTAGTCAGAGGTAGAGAGTAACCAGAAGTGAGAGAGCGCGGACATGTAACGACGTTCTGCTCTGGTCAGGCTTGCGGCTGGCTGTGTGTAGCGCGGGGGGGGGGTTTGCGATAGGGCACTCGCGCTTCATTTCTCTCCGCCCCGCTCCCTTACAGCTACGACCCGTTCTCCTCACGCGCGGCAAAGACTATTGACGGAGATGTATGCACCGTTTGTCTTCGGCACGACTACTTGGCCAGGTTTAGGCCGTAAAACAGGAAAGGTCATCAGGTCAGCCCGGGCCATTTCCAATGAGCTGCACACCGTTGTACGCGTCTTGGGACGGTGAACTCAGAACTGTCTTCAAAATTTGCAGAACGATTCTCTGAACGGAGTTATGGAGGGTTTTATCCCCGCATGGTCGTTTCACATGCTATCGCGAGGAAACGTGGAAGCGTCTTTACATTTATGTATGGAGTCGTTCTGAAACGTGGTAGCAGAGCGCAACGGGTAGGGAGCGGGTTTCTTAGGCGAGACGTCGTAGGACCACGTTTTCGGGGTGAGTCCCTTTTCTTTTCAGCTTCTCCCGCTCCAACAACGCTTCTAACATCAACTGCTCGCTCAGGAGAAACGTTCTGCCAAATTTTTGAGAGTCAGTTCCGTCAGATGATCAGGAGTGGCATTCTCATTGCAAATGACCTGATGACCTTTCCTGGTAAGCAAGTCACCTGAAGTTTTTAGTCGCGAAGAGCGCCCTCAAAAATGCTTTGCAAGACATTACTTGTCACAGGCCACCTCTTACAAGAAGGCTCGCTGGATCACCCTTGTCGATGCTGATACTCAGATTGGGTCTGGTCCAGGGTTATGTAGAGTTGCATACCACGGCAAAGCGCAAGGGGATTTTGTCATGAGACTGGGTCTGACTAGCAGAATTGCGTTCCGCATGCTCTCCGGTCTGAAACCGGCAGAAAAGCGGCGCCTCTGGGCTCAAATCCTGTACACGCCCTGACTGCTTTTTCGTTTGCGATATGGACTGCAATACATTAATACTTCTTAGATCTGCAACAATTCACAGAAATGTTTACTCATTTCCGCTTCTCTTACCAAAGAACTGGTAGGTGCGCTAGGCCATAAGTGTCATCAGTCGCTTTATCGGTGAATATCATGTTGGAAATGATGGATTGCGGCGTTCATCCTCCATTCATAATTTGGGAGAACTTGCTTTTTCCTGTGAGAATCACGAAGTTTGAGGTGATCTTTTTTTAGCATTGAAGCAGGTGGAAACCTTCCACCGTTGGTTGTGTTGGAAATTTTGTCGCGTAGCAGCAGTTTGAAAGTGGCAGCAGTTAAGGATTATGTCATCAGGTGGTTGGACGCACAGAAGAAGCAGGTCATTAACACTGCATAGAATTTTCACACTTCATTCCGAACAGAGGTGATTTCAGATAGAAGCAGATCGGAAGGCAATCACGGAGGGTGAACGTCGTGTGGAAGAAATCGATAAGCAGATGGAATCCCTCAAGTTCAAGTTTGTTTCATTTCGTTTTTTTTTGCTTTGTTCAGAGGTCGTGACCTTCACCTAATCTATTGACATTTTTCAGTGTGCAAGTGCTGCAAGTGAACAAGTGCAGTGCTTGTGACACTGCACTTCAGTTGCCAGCAGTACATTTTCTCTGCCGGCATAGTTATCATGTGCACTGCTTCGAGTCCTACAGCGATAAACCTGACGTGTGTCCAGCATGTGTGGGGCCGATGTCCAGGTAGGCAAAGCATGCTTTCTGCAGTAGAAGAGTTTCTATCTCTCTGTATATAAAACCGAAATTGTATGTGTATCTGTATGTCTTTGTGACCGCCCCAAAACTGTGGGCTGCATGAACCTGACGTGTGTTCAGCATGGGCCAGCATTTACAGAGCACACACATGGTAAACTAAGCCCCACCTACCATGGGCGGGGCATGCGCCAGAGTGGATGATGGCGGATAAGAATTCCAAGAACGATCCAGAGCAAACCAGGGAGTAAGGAATATGGGTGAAAGACAATAAGGAGTTGCCTGATGAAATGAGGTAGAGAGTGAGACGTGCACCGAATGGGTAGTGCTTGGTGCGAAAGTTCATAGTTCGGTTCCGAGACACATGAGAGTGGCATACTCCGTCCGACTATTCTTTGAAAGGAGTTCAAGGATTCTAGATTCTGGGAATAAAACTCTTAATCCGAGTTTATAGAGAGAGTTTCGGTGGAGAATTTACTTTCCTTCTCTTGGAATTGTGAAAGTGTTTGCTTAAAAAGGCTGTGGTTCGGTTAGGGGCGGAGCAGTTCTACATCTGATAGAGAGCGTACGGCCCGAAACACTGGGGGGAGGTGTCACCCCCCCCCCCCCTCCCACCCCCATAGTGAGTATGCGAAAAACTGAAGAATTGTCGCTCTGCTTTTGGCGTGCGCTAATGCGTTCATAGTTCCTAAATCAGTGTGAATTTTTGAGACTTGTTCGGAAGGCTCCACTGAGAAGAAAAATCTAAGCTAGAGCCTTACGAGAAGCACATAAGGGCGTGTTCCGCGATGAAAGGATGGGCGGGGACTGGGGCTAACCACTGTGCCTTTGCTATTGGCGCGTCTTTCTTAACACACTGATGGAGGGGAGACATGCGCCAATAAGGAAAGTACAGTGGTAAAGAACTCTCAATGCCTGCTGATTGTTGATATGGCTTTGAATGTATCGCTTCTGTGTAGACGTGAGGCTGCTGTAACCAATTTTGTCTTTATTTCAGGGAGACCTCAAGAGAAGCTATAAGCGACAGAGCTGCTTATCAGATGTTCCATAAAGAAGTATGTCATTTTTATAATTGACGTGGGCTAGTTCCAGACCTGATGTTGTCGAAATTAGGCTTCTGAGGGTTGGGCTTATACAGTCTTGTTCGCTGCGGATAACGGGACGTCAGTGAGGCTCGATTTGGCACACTGACAGCTCGTTCTCCACCACTTAGCGGAGTTGGAGCGGATGAGGACAGCAGTTGGTGGAAAACGGCTGATACGAACCATACGTCGAAAGAGAAAAATGAACGAAGTGGCCGCCGCGCCAAGTCCATCCCTCCTTGCACGCCCCATCATCCGCTGCAAGCAAGACTGTGAGAGCGATCTCAAGTTCGCGCTGAGACCTGAATTCGGGAATCACTGCTTTGTGTGCTTTCATCACCCGTTTACAGGCACCTTTTTAGCTAAACGGAGCGGTTAACGGATTGGATGTGATATCAAAATATATTCGGAGTGGAGTGTTCGATTCGTCGAAGAAGAATTCCCAGAAAAAGGTGATTGATCGAAGTGTCCTATCGTTCTAAGATAATGATGGAAACCTTGAAAGCAGGGTTAGAGAGCCAGCTTTCCATTTTCTAGCTGTTCAGCTTGACCGTCTCTTGCAGGGATCGACTGCTGTGTCACCGGCTGATTCAAAACGAAGTGATGGGAATCCGTTTGAAGATGAAGATGATTTGAATCCATTTGCTGATCGTGGCACCCTGAGTAGCAAGTCATCAGATTCAGCCATCAGGCGGCCACCAACGATGAAGTCCTCGAACGCTAATCGTCCGACTACCTATGATGACTCTAAGAATCCGTTCAGAGTAGGCACGAATCCGTTTGAAGACTAAAAACGACTTTTAAAACAGTCCTGCACATCGAGGGTAGAACATTAATCCAAGCTTCCAGGCAATAAGTATGGGTGCTCCGAAGTCACTGGTTGACGTTCTGTTGATAGTACAGACCATCACTTCGATGAATTGTTGATAATTCCGATTGACTGGTGCCCGACCATTCAATCGGAATTATCAACAATTCATCAAAATGATGTTCTGTAAAAGTGCAGGGTTCTTTAATGGACCACAGTCCGAAATAGTTGAATTATTGAGAAATATCACTACTGGAGACGGTGTGCTATTAACTGAATATCCGGAGAGTTTTGAAAAAATTTAGCTCTTCCGCTTTAAGAAAGTCTAGTGAGCGAATGTGCCAGAAGAAAACGTTTTAAGCAAGTCTAGTGAGCGAATGTGCCAGAAGAAAAGAGCAATTGAAGTGGTAGAATGAAAAAAGAAGGTGAAATATTAGCAGAATGAATACGCGGTT